CAAAATTTTTCCTTCTTTATGAAAATCCTTCCCAATTTATCCAAGCAGAAATAGTCCCATATTACCACAGACCTTTGTACATACCTTGATTTTATATCTATATATCTATATGCCTACTTCCTCAGAGAGAATGTGGGTGTCTTACAAACATGTAAGGCACAGTACATAGAAGGTGCTCAGTATCTGTTGGTTGAATGAATGAATGAATGAATGAATGACTCCAGATTCTATAAAACAAACTCATCATCATCATCATCAAATGACGATCAAAGGTTCTTGCTAATCCTCATCGGGCTCATCAATATTAACAATTTAGGGAGCTCACCCTGTAATCTTTTTACTATATTAACTTCTCTCACTCCACTAAATCCATGCCATCAGATTCAACATGTTAAGATCTCCTACTTATGCCAGGCACGGTGGCTCATGCCTGTAATCCCAGCACTTTGGGAGGTGGAGGCAGGAGGACTGCCTGAGTCTAGGGGTTTGGACATCTTGGTGAGACCTTGTCTCTACAATTAAAAAAAAAAAAAATTAGCCAGGCATTGTGGCACACGCCTGTAGTTCCAGCTATCTGGAAGGCTGAGGCGGAAGAATCACCTGAGACAAGCAGGCTAAGGCTGTGGTGGCCGTGAGAGTGCCACTGCTCTCCAGCCTGGGCGACAGAGCAAGACTCCTACTGGGAAAAAAAAAAAAAGAAACACCTACTTAAAAACCAAACTTTCTGATATTGTCACTTCTCTCTTTTCTTTTAATACCAAATTTCTTGAGAGAGTTGTCTACTTTCAATTTCATTTCTCCATGTCCTCCTCACTCCTAAAGCTTCTGCCCCAACTTTGCCTTTAGAACTGTCCCAACCAAGACCATTAGTGACTTTATTTTGCAAAATTCAACATGCAATTTTTAGACATAGCTTATTTGGCCCTTTGACAACGGACACTGCTGACTAATCTTTCTTTCACATTCCATGACAGCATTCTCTTCTGTTCCCTTCTGCTTGTTTGTTCATACCTTCTCAGTTTCCTTCCACACGTCCCTTGAATACTGGTGTGCTTCAGGATTTTGGACTTGGTACTTGGCTTTTCTTCTATATTATCCCTGGACAAGCTTATTTATTCCCATCATCTCAAATCCTAGCTATATGCTAATGATGACTCCCAAGTATACAGTTACATGCTTTCTTTAACTTTGCTCTTGTACTTCCAGCATCCTGTTGGACACTTCCTCTGGGATGTTCCACAGTATGTGTAACACACTGAGTCTAAAACTGAACCTACCATTTCCTCCACCTCCAAACCTGCTGTTCCCTATCTTAATGAGTGGTTCTGTCATCTAACTACTTGCTTATATCAGAAGCCTAGGCCTCAGCCTCCACCACTTCACCTTAATTTCCAACATCCAGTCAATCTCTAGGTATTCTGGATTTTATTACGTTTGTCTCTTGATTCCAATTACATTTCTCTAGCCCCATGACTACTATACTGTCCAGGCCATTTTCATTTCTTATCCACGCTTTATGTTAGGAGGCATGCTTTAGTAGCCTCCTAACTAGGTTTCTTGCCTCTAGGTTTCCTTCTGTCTGACACTTCTCCTACATGGCAACCAGATAGATTTTTCTAAAATGAAAGTCTGAATACATCATTCCTTCATTCAAAACTCTCCGGTAATAATCCTATTATCTTTAAGATAAAGAATTAGCGCTCAGGCTTTATGGTGGACTAAAGCTACCCATTCACCACAGTACACTAGATCCTGGAAAAAAGTCAGCTCACTCCCACCAACAAAAAAAGTTAGCAGAGGCTAGAAGCATAAGCCCAGGGAAAAGGGGTTATGCTAAGGGCTGATATCAACAGCAGTGCTGCTGAAATACTGGCTTTGGGCGAGTAGTGAGGATGGAGAGCTAATCCTGGGACTCCCATACTGAATTGAAATTCTGAGAGGTATGTTGAAGAGGCATAGTAACTGTAAAATGTCAACAATGAACATGAATCTGCAGGTCCAAGAAGAATAGTCTATCTAGGATAAATAAAAAGAAATACATGTTGTGGTAGCCAGTCTACAAGAGAGTCCCAATGAGTCTCACCTCCGGGTATCCACACCCTTGTGCAGTTGTCTTCCAAATTGTGCTAGGGTTGGTCTGTGTGACCAACAGAATATGACTAAACTGTTCACATGTCACTTCTGACATCAAGTTCTAAAAGACCGACTTCTGTCTTGGTTGTTCTCTCACTTTCTTGTTCTTTCCTGGACCACTTGTTCTGGGAAGTGAGTTACCATGTCATGAGCAGCCTTAAGAAGAGGTCCAATGATGAGGAACTGAGGTCTTCCACCAGCAATTATGTGAGGTAGTCATATTGGAAGCAGATCCTCAAGCCCCGGTCATGCCTTCAGGTGACTGCAACCCCAGCCAACAGTTTGACCGCAACCTCATAAGAGACCCTGAGCCAGAACCACTCAGATAAGCTGCTCCCAGATTCCTGACTTAGAAAAACAGTGTGAAATAAAAAAATAATGTCTTAAGCAGCTGAATTTTAGGGTAATTTTTACACAGTATAGATAACCAATATACATGCCAAGACCAAATAGTTTTAAATGGCTTAAAAGAACATTCTCCATTTGGTCCAGACTCTCTCTCCAGCCTCACTTCTTGCCACTCTCCCTCCAGCACATTACATTTCAAACACACCAAACTTTTAGTTTCTGGTGTGCACCATGTTTTCTCCCATCTCCACCCTCTGTGCAGCTCATACACTATACCCCTGCCTGACATGTTCTTCAACCCCTTCTCCCCTACTCCCAATGCATATATTCATTTGGCTAACTTCTCATCATCAGAGCACTTATCACATTGTACAATAAAGCCTCGTTAAACTGTCTGCCTTTCCATTAGACTTCAGGCTTCAAAAAGACAGGACATACCTTGTCCTTTACTGTTCTGCCTGCATAGTTCCCAGCATAAAGAAGGTACTCTGTAAATATTTGTCTGTTATAGCCTACAGGATAGGGATAGGCAGGAAGGCTAAAGGCTGAAGAATGTAAATACTCTCAGGCAATGAGCCAAATGAAATCTTCAGCATAGCAACTAACAACAATAAAGAAACCAAGAAACCCCTATACTTCTTATAACCTCAGGTTTAGGGGAGGATTTGGGAATGGTCAAAACTCAAGATTGGATGGTTTCCAGTTCTTCCTAAGTCAAGCCCTGTTGTTGTGGTTTCATTATGATCCTTGACTTGAAATCTCTGAACATCAGACACACCCATTCTTGAAAGCATACTCAGAGTTGTACTCAAAGGCCAAAGAGAAATGATTTTTTAAAAACTATCATCTGGAATGCATTTGTAAGACAATTCTAGCCTACTATGTCAATATTTAAGCTCCGGTAATATATGTTATTTGTGGCATGTGTCTAAATATGAACATACACATATGTGCATATATACGTGTCATAAAACATTAATCACTAGTACCCTCTACTGGAGGAAATACTTTATCTGTTAATAGGAATGGTCTTATTGCCCTCTAGTGACCACAACCTATAAAGACAGAAAATCCAGCAGCAGATGGGAGAATCTCCTTGGCTACAATGATAGGATATTTTGTTCTTTAAGCATCTAATTTTCTCAGATTCTGGTTTATATTACAGGGGTGCAACTCTAAGACTCTTGGGGGACCCTCCGGGGATTTCACATAGCTCTTCCCAGCTGTTAGTGCCAGTCTGAAGCTGCTCTCTCTCCGGCTTCTTATGAACAAGAGGTCAAGGGGAGGCAGACAAGGCAATGGCTGCACTAGTGGGGGCAAGAGCAGCAGCTGTGAATGACTATCCTGAACTCCCTAGGGAGTGGGGAGCAGCTTGAGGAACACATGTTGGCCCTTCCTTGCATATTATTCACAGTTGTGTACTCTACTAAAACGGCAATTCAACACAGTCCCTGACTTATCTTTTAAATATCTCCAATGCTATAATAAATGGCACAGCAGCAAATGTTGCTAACATTTTTATAAACCAGGTTGTACAGATTATTTCTATGAAAGATAGAAAAGCCAAGTCTCTCAAGATGTAGCTAAAATGTCACCACCTCTATGAAGCCTTTTCTGAAGTCCCCAGATGTGAGTGCTCTGTCCTTTGTGCCAGCATATTCCTTTATAGATCAGAAGGGGGTACACAGAACATTACTTGTATGTTTTTATTTATAACCTACAAGGTTTTACTGTTCCCGTTTCTACATGCTTGTTCTTCTGTCAAGCCCTAAATTCCTTGAGGTCACGAATCACGTCTTACTCATTTTTTCAGGCATACCCAGCATCTAGTGCACTCAAACTGCTATCCATAGGTCATTGCCAGTTTCCAGTCCATAAGGTAAGTACAGAAATTGAAAGTAAGCATTTAGAAACTTTTATAGCAAGTGAAACCTCGTCTCTACAAAAAAGTTTTTTAGATGTTTTTAAAGTAACTTTTATAGCAATTTGACAAGAATAATTCTATATCTGTTAAATTTAATAAAATAATTGGGGTTTAAATTTTAGATAATTTAATTTTTCTGGTGATTTTTATTATATGTTACCAAAGTATTGGTCTGCAATCAATGGAGAAATTTTTTTTTTTTTTTGAGTTGGAGTCTCACTCTGTCGCCCAGACTGGAATGCAGTGGCTGCTCCTGGCCACCGCAGCCTCGACCTGCTGAGCTCCAGTGATCCTTCTGCCTCAGCCTTCCGAGTAGCTGGAATTACAGGCACGCACTACCACGCCCGGCTGATTTTTTTGATTTATTGTAGAGATGAGGTCTCGCCAAGTTGCCCAGGCGGGTCTCGAACCCGCGGGCTCAGGCAATCCACTCACCTCAGCCTTCCAAAGTGCAGGATTACAGGCTGAGCCACCGAGCCCAGCGTCAATGGAGAATTTTTTAAGCAACACTTATTTACCAGAGATAGTTTAAAAGGCACTAATACAGCAGATAACTTCACATTTGAGGAAGAGGGGGAACAAAGAAGGAACCTACCTATCCTTGTTGATTTTAACACTTCCCTGGAGGGTATTTTCTTCTTTAATTCTTGTAAGGCTTCAACTAGATTCTCTTTGGTTTGATCAGGAAGCTCCAACATAGTTTTCCATCTTTTTATGTCTTCTACAACCACAACTCTCTGGTAAAAAGAAAAGTCATTTGGAAAATGGAACATTTTCATTAGAAAAATATCTGCCTTTACCTGAGCTAATAGGGCTCCTATTGACATATGAATTATTGATTATGACCTGAACCAAAGCACAGTGTGTCTGATGGCCCCAAATGAGGGGTAATTGCTTAAAAGCAGGTGTTGCTTACTGCAAATCAGGAAAAGAGATGCATCTATCAGAAAAAGTGCAAGTTTAATCTTACCATGTCAGACACCACCCCAGGCACTTAGCAGTGAGGTGATTCAACCCTATAGCTCACTTAAGAGTGTTTTAATTCACAGGCAAGAAGAGAAACAGAAGTCATAAGGATGTGTTTATTTCAACAATTAAAAGCACACCTAAGTAGTTCTCTACTTCCTAGAGGATAAAATTCAAACTCTTTCTTGTTCAAAGAATTTTTTAAGACTTCAAACACATGGAAAGGTACAGAGAGTAATCCATTACTTGCGATAAAAAAGTTACCATTTTGCCATTTCACATGAAATATAAAACATACACTTTGAATTCCTTTATACCCTACACCAAACTCATTCTCTTCCATACTTTCCTAGAAGAAACTATGTATGTACTATCTTAAAGTTGATATGCATCTTTCCACTAAGTGTAAAATATTAACAATTAAGGAATCTGGGTAAAGGGGATGGAAGAATTTCTCAACTAAGAAGTTTTTTCTTTTTTTTTTTTTTGAGTCATGTCTCACTCTGTCACCCAGGCTAGAGTTCAATGGCAGGACCACGACTCACCACAGCCTTGACTGCCTGGGCTCAGGGGATCCTTCTGCCTTGGCCTCCCAAGTAGCTGGGACTACAGGCACACGCCACCATCCCTAGCTAATTTCTTGTAGAGATGAGGTCTCACTATGTTGCCCAGGCTGTTCTTTAACTCTTAGGTTCAAGCAATTCTTCCATCTCAGCCTCCCAAAGTGCTGGGATTACAGGTGTGAGACACCGCACTTGGCCAAGAATTTTTCTTAAACTCAGAGACAAAAAATAAAGTCGCTTCTATGATAAGAACAAAAATTTTCTCTTGGATCATTATTACCCTGGGGAGGTGGGCACATTTGAGATTGAAAGGGAGAAGAGGCTTCTGGGATTCCAGTAATGTTTTTTCTTGAGTAGGAGTCTCACTGTTGCCCAGGCTGGAGTACAATGGCACGCTCCCAGTCACTGCAGCCTCAACCTGCTGGGTTCAGGTGATCCTTCCATCTCAGCCTTCCAAGTAGCTGGAACCACAGGTGTGCGCCACCACGCCTGGCTAATATTTTGATTTATTGTAGAGACAAGATCTAGCCAAGTTGCCCAGGCTGGTCTCAAACCTCTGGGCCCAGGCAATCCTCTTGCCTCCACCTACCAAAGTGCTGGGATTACAGGCATGAGCCACAGCGCCCAGTCATGTTGTTTCTTGACCTGGATGATGGTGTGTTCATTGTGAACATTCCTCATGATGCACTTTTCTATATATATTTTCTGTATGATAGTTTGAAAAGCAAACAAAAAGTCTCATCTCCCTTCCTTGGCCAGGGTCTGCTTCCAATAGTGGGAGGAGGGTATGTCTGATCTCCCTGTTTCCCAACTTTGCTTCTTTTCCTCCCCAATCTGCTTGTTTGGTTTGGTTTCTGACCCTTACATGTTCAAAGTTGGGAAAAGGAGAGGAAAGGGAAAGGACGAGCCTTGCTTTCTGTTGTGATAGTATGCCAATCAGTTAGAGTGCTCCCTGGACTTGGCAGATATTTAAAGCTGACTCTTTTTTTTCTCTTGCAGGGTGCTTTTGCAGCTGCAGTTCCCATAATGTGGGCAATGTCTCTTTCACCCAGCTGCTTGCAACCCATCTCCCAGACTCTCTCTATAGGGATTCCATTGTCCTCCCAAGGATCCTTGTGAACACATCCACTTTCATTCAACTCCACGCCAGCCAGCAGTTTCTTCCACAATTGCCCACATCTTTGTCCTAAAAAAAATCTGAGGGTAAAAGCCTTCCTAATGCACGTACTTCTTTTGACATCAGCCAACCATTCTGTCTTCAGATTTTCCCACACACAGGTCTGATATCTGTCCAACTCCAGAAACTGAAGTCAAGTTCTCCAAGTGAAAATACCATAGCACTGTCAACATCACCCCAAGGAATTCTCTCTCCTGTCTTCCTTTAACTTCAACCTTCTTTATAGTCTATGGCTGGTGATGGGTTCAGGATTCCAAAACTGGTCTTCACATATTGCCTTGTAAAGTTCTACAAAGACGGTCTAGGATCTCACTGGAGAATATCATTTGATACCTATTGCTTTGTTCTCAGTCTTTAGGGAACTTAGTCAAAGTTGAAACAAAATCTTTTTCTTTCCTTTTTTTTTTTTTGAGTCGGGGTCTCACTCTGTCATCCAGGTTGGAGTGCAGCAACACAATCATGGCTCATTATAGCCTTAACCTCCTGGGCTCAGGCAATCCTCTCACCTCAGCCTCCAGAGTAGCTAGGGTTATAGGCATGAGCCACCATTTCTGGCCTGACAAAATCCTTTTCTGTGATGTTACAATAGAAAATAATATTATTAGGGCCAGGCATGCTTGTATTATCACAGCACTTTGGGAAAAATGCTTGAGCCCAGGAGTTTGAGACCAGCCTAGGCAACATAGTGAGACCTCGTCTCTACAAAAAATCAAAAGGTAGCCAAGCATGGCGGCACACACCTGTAGTCCCAGCTACTCAGGAGGCTGAGGCAGGAAGACTGTCTGAGCCCAGGAGGTTGGGCTGTGGTGAGCTGTGATCATGCCACTGCACTCCAGCCTGGGTGACAGAATGAGACCCCAACTCAAATAATAATAATAATAATAGTGTTATATTATATGAAAAAAATCAATAAAGCCAAGTAAGGGGTATTTTCAATAGAAAGAAAGTATATATATAATGCTTTTTTCACTTAATATATTTTGTTGATTTATCTGTCCTGAAACATGTAATCCCTGTTGGTCCATTTTGGAATTGGACAGTATTCCAATATTTTTATACATAAACGTCCTAAAATTTTGAAATCAATTTCCCTAATGGATATTTAATTTCTCTCCTCATATTATTCCTGTTATAAACATTGCTTCTTCAATGAACTCCTGCCTATGACAATTTTTTGTACGCTGTCTTCTATCCCTATTCTTTCAACTTTTCTGGGTTATTATGATGTTTTACACAGCCCATGGCTGCTTTATTTTGCCCCACCTGCCCCAATCCAATCTGAGAATCTCTATCTTTTAACAGGCATGTTTAATCCAACTGTATTTATTGATTACTGCTATACTTGGACATATTTTCTCTTTTTTTTCCCTCTTTCTTATTTTTTATTTATTTATTTATTTTGAGTTGGAGTCTCACTCTGTTGCCCAAACTGGAGTACAGTGGCACGATCATGGCTCACCACAGCCTTGGGCTCCTGTGCTCAAGTGATTCTCCCGTCTTGGCCTCCCCAGTAGCTGGAACTATAGGTGTGTGCTACCATGCCCAGCTAATTTTTTTTTTCTTTTTTTTTTTTTTGTAGAGACGAGGTCTCACTGTGTTGCTCTGGCTAGTCTCGAACTCCTGGGCTCAGGCAATTCTCCCTCCTCAGCCTCCCAAAGTGCTGGATTTATAGAAGTCAGCCACCATGCCTGGCCTCTTATCTTCTATTTAACACATTGAGTTTTCTTTTATCTTTCTTTTTTTTTTCATTATGGTTTGGAAGTTATACACTATATCACTTTAGTACTTACCCTTATAATTTTCAATATGTATGATCAATGAAATCTATACTAGTATTCTCCTCACAAGCCTCTACTTTAGCTACTTCTAAATTACATGGCTTTTTTTTTAATCCTTTATCTTTCTTTAGTATTTTTGTCTCTTTATTTCTCTGTAATATATTCTGGGTTTGTTTTGTTTTGAGTCAGAGTCTCACTCTGTTGTCCAGGCTGGAGTGCAGCGGCATGCTAGTGGCCACCAAAGCCTCTACCTGCTGGGCTCAGGCAATCCTCCTGCCTCAGCCTTTCAAGTATCTGGAAGCACAGGTGTGCGCCACCATACCTGGTTAATCTTATTTATTGTAGAGATGAGGTCTCGCCAAGTTGCCCAGGCTAGTCTCAAACCCTTGGACTCAGGCAATCTTCTCGTCTCCGTCTCCCAATGTGTTGGGATTATAGGCGTGAGCTACTGCACAGGGCTCTGTGATGCATTCTAAATTATTTCCTCAGATCTAGCTTCCAATGTACTATTTCTCTTTTTAGTTATGGTTTGTCTACTTTTAACCTGTTTGATACGTTTCTGCTTTAACAAGTATATTTTTTCATTGGACAAGTTCTGATTTGCTTTTTCCTTCAAATCTACCTGTTTTCCTCTCATACTATTCTGTTATCTCTGCAAACACTTTAAACATATTTAAGGCTTCTTTCAAACTGTTTTCTTATCTCTACTTCTTGACGTAGAAATTCTATTACTTACATCTATCTGTTCATCCTCCCTCCTGGTAATTAATTTTCTTATAGATTGTGTAATTTTTTAAACCATAAGTTCATCTTTCAAGGGATTGTTTTTCATGAAAATCCTGTGTGCCCTAGGATATGCTGTGTCTTAACAGGGAAATCTGACATTTGCCTTTACCAAGGTCTTTGGATTTTCCCAGTTCTAGACCAGTTTTTAAGCTTTGCAGATAATGTGAATTTAAACTTCAGTCAGCTACTCTTTATCAGGGTTCCAGATCTGTGGATTCAACCAACCAAAGGTTGAAAATCTTTTTTTAAAAAAAGATGGTTGGCCAGGCACGGTGGCTCATGCCTATAATCCCAGCACTTTGGAAGGTCTCAGATGAGAGAATTGCCTGAGTTCATGGGCTCAAGACCAGCCTGGGCAACTTGGCGAGATCTCATTTCTGCAATAAATCAAAAAATTAGCCAGATGTGGTGGCGCGTGCCTGCAGTGCCAGCTACTTGGAAGGCAAAGATGGGAGGACCACCTGAGC